GCACATACAAAGCAGAGCTAATCTCATCCATGTCGAGATCAAAGATCTGAACACCACGACGGGGCAAACTGTGCTAGTCAGGGAGGTCAGGCGACGGGCCGAAGCAGAGACGAAACAGGTCGTCTAGGTGACGGAAGCAACGAGTGGGGGTATGGCTGGTCTTACCGCACACGAGGCCGCGGCGAGGACCGGTCTGAAGCTGGTACTGGCAGCGCCCGTCATTCTGACCACCACACGACAGCACGCCGTGCGCACGACCACTGCGACCACCGTCACCTCCAGCTCCAGGCCACCTGGGGGGGAAACGACCGACCAGCCACTGCTGCTGCGGCGCCTACTGCTGCTGCTCCTGGGGGTGCTGCGGCTGCTGCTGCTGCTGGTCCAGCAACGGCGCCTGCTATTGCTGCTGCTACTGCTGGGACTGCTGCGCCGAGGCACCAGCCCCAATCCCCTCATCAGTACTACCAGCGGGCAAGTCACCTCCACCACCGGCGCCACCCCCTCCTCCGCTTCCTCCGCCGCGCCCAGCCTTGGGGCAGCGACCCTTACCCGGACGAACCTGCACTGCGGTGGCTGCCTCCGCAGCCAGAGCTGTCTCAACGACCGCAGCAGAGCTGTCAGAGTAAGTGCACTGAGCAGGGGAATAGCCCTGAAAGATAGAGACCGGCACGGTACCGCTAGACTGGCCGATAGAGCGCTGACGAGTCTCTACGGCAGACAGGGTGTCGACAAAGTCCGTGAGGGTGAGATCAGCGGGGTGGAGACTAAGAAAGTGATCGCGGGCGGTGGCAAGGTGGTTAGGGAGGCGGATGGCAAGCTGGTAGAGGGTAGAGCAGATGGGGGGCTGAAACACACGAAGCTGGGCCTCAGTGCAGGCAACGCGCCAGGTCGTGTCTAGCATGCGCAGGTGGGCGACCAGGTCAGCGACAGTAGGGAAAGACGTGAGATCAGGAAAGAGCATGGGCAGGATCAGGCGACCGATGGAGGCAGTGGGCGGGGTGGAATAGCGGGCGACAACAGCCTCTAAAAACTCCTGTACAGTCCTGACCGACCTAAAGCAAGGGCGCTCGGATAGGGGGAGGGCATGACTAATCCCAAGCTATGCGACAGCGTCATGTGACAACCAGACAGCACGGGCAAGGGCAGCAGCGGCAGCGGACTCATGGTCAGCAGACGTGGGGTCAGTGGGTAGAGCAGCAGCGGGGTCCGGGCAGGGGAGCGTAGCGTCGATGTGGAGGGCCAGGGAGTGGCGGTCCTGCTGCAGACCGGTGAGGTGACGGCGGATGTCAACGAGCCACGTGTCGAGCTCAACCGGCTGACCCTCCACATCAAAACGCAGGACCGAGTCAGCCATCAAGGTCGTTGCAGCAGCAGAAAGGCGGTACTGAGCAGTAGGGTGCGGCGAAAAGTGATGATGTGCAGTGCAGCGCTGTACAGGGCGGTGCAGTGTGGTGCAGGGCGGTGCAATGCGGTACAGTGCAGTGCAGAGCGGTGCAGTGCAGTGCCGTGCAGTTTAGTGCGGTGCAGAGCGGTGAAGTGCGGTGCAGTGCGGTGCCGGGCGGTGCAGTGTAGTGCAGAGGGCCGAGGACGGCGGCGAGGCATCTGGGAGACGGGGCCGCGGGCGGCGAGGCGACGGGGCCGGCTAGGCGTGGAGGTGACGGGGCCGGCTGGGCTACGGGGCAGCTGGGCGATAGGGTCGGCTAGGAGGCGGGGCCGGCTGGGAGACGGGGTCGACTGGGCGACTAGGCCGGCGAGGCGACGGGGCCGGCTGGGAAGCGGGGATGGTTAGGAGGCGGGGCTGGCTAGGAGATGGGGTCAGCTGGGCGACCGGGCCTGCTAGGCGTTGGGGCCTGCTAGGCGACGGGGCCGGTGAGTCGGCTAGGCGACGGGGCCGCGGGCGGCTAGGCGACAGGGCCGCGGGGCCGATAGGTGACGAGGCCGCAGAGCCGCTAGATGACGCGGCCGCGGCGCAGCTAGGGGACGAAGCCGCGAGGCCGCTAGGGGAGGGGTCTACAGGGCCGCTAGGTGACGGGGCTGCGGGGCCGCTAGGTGACGGGGCCGCGGGGCCGCTAGGGGACGCGGCCGCGGGGCCGCTAGGGGACGGGGCCGGCACGGGCGACGAGACGGCTAGGACCTACGGTGGAAGCGCTGGTGGGCGGGGGGAACCTAGCCTACTCATGCTGCCATATCATAGTGAACGAATGACTAGGACAGTGACATGCAAAGGAATATAACCTAATGGGTTGTACTCCCTAAAGCACAATCGTATATAGTCTATAACAACATACAATATATGTTTGACAAGGAGAACTTCCATTCCACTGCGTGGTGGCGAGATTCTCACGTCACAAATCACAAAAGGTACTCGGACGATTTCGGGACTTAAGCCAATCAGCCTAGTCATGTTCTCTGCACACATCAGGGGAGATGACTGACACGACCTTTGGCATGGTTGCTTTGTCAAGAACTCGGAAGGATTCTGGGTGAAATTTCCTTAAGATCCGGAAAATTTTGGGTACTTCTAGACCCCGTCTTGGGACCATTCGAAACTCCCTAGGGCCTAGCGTAAGCCCTGACTAAACATTTCGCCCTCACTCCAATGCTTGGTACTGTACATTTGGAGACAGGAGAGGGCGAAATGTACAGTACCAAGCATTGGAGTGAGGGCAAAATGTACAGTGCCAAGCGTTGGAGCGAGAGCAAAATGTACAGTACCGAGGGTTGGAGTGAGGGCGAAATGTGCAGCGCGAGGCTGGCGCGAAAAAAATCTCGCCCCCCGCAATTATTACAGTCGATTGGTTGTTGGGCTGCTACGAGCGGGAAATTTGGCCAAAATGGGTGGGAGTTACGTCTACGGACCATTCGTAGAAATGTTTACCAGCAGTCACTGACTAACCGTGGAACCTGACTGACTAGCCGTGCGACGAACTTACTAATTTTCATGGTTTATAGCATTCCACTAACCGCACGTAATAGCGGGGACCCTAATACTGAGCGCGGATGTACTTTCCCTTTTCCGAATGCATGTTCGAGCAATTGTTCCGTAGAAGTTCGCGAGGGGCAATTAGGTCGCATTCCAGGCTGTTACGAATAGATGACTTCTATAAGGAAATTCCCTTGTCCTTACTGGGTTCGACTACAGCGCGTACGCCCTCGACTCTCGGAAGTCCAGGCTCGGCCAACTTCTTTGGTCCCAAGCCATTTCGTGAACCCAAACCTAGACGCGCAGCGCTTCCGTGGCTTTCGCCAACTAGACCGCCCAACCTGTTCGCGTGGTTCTCGGCTAGCCTTGTTCGTGCCTATAAATGCCTAGGAACTCATTTCTATCGACACTCTTGAATTACGACTCCTTTATTAGACTACCTGTTATTACTCCTATTCATTAATAACAACTTCTGAACATATTACACACTAGAAGGGTAGCTACCCTTGTTTCATAAAAGTCAAGGTACTTTTCAGAATGAGTTCAGAAATTTAAGAGGTAAACATATCTCATTTTGGGGGTCTTCTTCGAGCTCTGTAACTTTAAATCTGGACGCGAGCAGGGTGTATTTCGGAACAGTATTGGAAATTTCAGAAGGAGAGCCAGAAATGTTTTGGGACCTGGTTCAGGAACGTCTGAAACTACCTACCTCAGGGGTTTACTGACAAAGCAGGTAATTAGATCGCATTCATGAAGTTTTCCCACGCGGATCGGAATGTCTAAAAACACATTTGAATGTTTGCCCACGTGATTCGAACTTTGCCCATGCGATGAGAACTTTGCCCATCCCTCTTTCGGCCGGCCAGGATGCATGCGACATGGGCCCACGACAAAGTGCGAACACATCCCACGTAAGGAGTTGGCAGTGTCACGTCCCACTCCGAAATGATTTGACGCCTGGTCATCACGGAACCTTATCGCAACGGCCTGTACGGCCAAAAAAACTTGGCGGGGGCAAATGGAAAGCCCACCACCCTCGTGGAAACCCAAGCATCCGAACAGCACCAGCCCATAAGAGATGCTAGCCCATAAAGCAGGCGAGGCCAGACATTCGAACAGCACAAACGGCGCATCGTAATTCCCGGGACCAAGGTAGACAGCCATGGCCATGAATTTAGGAGCAGCAGTCGCCGCGGTAGCAGCGTTTCTCTAGTGGCAACAACTAGACGACGCTGCAACAGATACTATACTTGTTCAGCTCGCAGTAGAAGCCCTCGACGCCATTGTTGCAGAATCCGCGCTTCGGCGGGCGGAGTCACGTCGGCAAAGAGTGTCGTGGCACTGGGATAACCCTGTTGATCCTCTCTCTCTGTCTAGGGAGGGTACTAGGGAGGCTTTCCCCAGGGAAGGTGGATATATGGAGCCTAACCCTCCTGATGACATCCCTTCTTGTCCCAGTGGTTAGGACTGGTGACTTTCTGACTGAGAGTTGCACGAAACAAGAGAACCTGGGCCGCGCGTACGCAATGGTGGTTAGAAACTATCGATTCCATGGAGGAGGCAGACTTCATCGAGTTATTCCGTATCGATCGTGACATCCTGGCGTACCTAGAGGAAGGAATGCGTGAGGACGTTCAGAAAATCATTCAGGCACATGGCGTCCCTTTGAGGCTATGCATTTTGATTCCTATAAAGTACCTCGTATCCGGCATGACGTACCTCGATATGAGTCTGTATTTTGGCGTGGCAAAGTCGGTATGCCATGCCATCGTCGACCGGTTCTTGCTATCATTTCCAAAAAGATACAAGAAGGCATGGGTGCGGTTCCCGGCTCAAGACAAAATGGCCGACATGGGGACAAAATTCAGGGAGAGCGAGGGCATCCCAAACGTGATAGGCGCAGTCGACGAGATGCATCTGCAAGTGCGTGGCATTAGCGATTACCGGTTGGAATACTATTGTCGGAAACAAATGTATTCCGTTCAACTGCAGCTAACAGTTGACGCTGACTGCCGCGTTTGCGACTATGTAGTCGGGTGGCCCGGCTCGTAGCACGATGCGAATGTGTTTTCGAAATGTGCATTGTACAACAGGATGGAACACGTGGACATAGACCCGTACCAGATACTACGAGATGCTGCCTACCCTCTTAGGAAATATTGCCTAGTTCCTATCCATGCAAGCAAAGCAAGAATTCTAGTGGGATGGGAGCAGAGCTTCAATTATGTCGAGTCTTCATCACGCATGGCCGTCGAACGGGCCATGGGCTTATTCAAGGGTCAGTGGAGGATATTTGCGTCATGCCACGGGGCTAGATTGTGGCGAGTGTGCGCGGGAGCGGGGTGTGCTGTGGTCCTCCATAACATGATCAAGGGCCAGCCGACGTGCCGCAAGTCAAATCGCGGATGGTGGCTCGACGGCACGACACGTGACTTGAACCGGTGGTGGGAGCGAGCGGGGATGCGTGCGTATGTGTGGCCCTCGGTCGACTCGCTGACGCGGGACACACCCGTCGACCGTCGTCGCAACTTCGGCGAGGCGATTCATGCCTGGCTTATGCGGCATGAGGGGAGTGACCAACAAACGGGGGAGCAGTGAAGTACCAATTGCCGCCCGGCCCCATAACGACGGTAGCATGGGCAAGAGCAGCAGGTGCAGAGTGGGGATACAGTTGTCGCGCCGGGCCACTATCCTCCCCGTCCGCCTGCTGAGACGAGGTCGACGCGTGCGGATACGCCATGCCTCTAAACTACGCAAACTTATAGGGGTGGGGTGCGGCGACTGATGGGCCTGTATACCATGGCGGGATTGGCGGCGCATGCTGGGGCTGCGGCATACGGCGTGGAGGACTGGTGCTGCCAGCAGTGACTCGACTCCCCGGGGCCCACTGCGCGTTCCTGTCGTCGCTGATGATGCAGGCGCTGGGACGGGTGCGGGCGCCGGCGCAGGTGCCGGCACACTGGTGTACGCACCAGCGGCCAGGGGAGCGAAGAGCTCAAGCACGGCGACCAGTCGGTCTAACGCCGCCCCTTGTCGATCCGTCCGCTCCTGCGCAAACTTCGTCATCGTGTCGGCCACGAGCACGTGCTCGGCGAACTCGGGCAACTCCACCGCCTTCTTCCGAGAGGGGATGCTTGCTGGGGTCACGGTGGTCGCTGGGGGTAGGTGAGCGGGGGGGGGTTGAAAAGGGAACAGCATGGTGCAGGCGAGGTGTCAAGTGTGGGCATATTTTCTCTAGTTCAAATCCCACATGCTTTGCACTTGTTTATGTATGCCTGATTCTGAATGCCAATCAGAGTATTTACACGGACATCCTTCGGTGTTCGGCTGCGTCGAAGTCGAAGGGGGGGGAATTGGGGTCGCGGACGAGTGACCACGGTCAGTTGATGTTCCTGCGTCTACAGCCCGTGCGCCGCCTTCGTCGAGCACTTGGGTTTTCAGTGCACGGCCACTCCGCCAGTAGTTCCAAGCATGCTCATACCATTCCGGCTTAGGCATGGGCTTGGCACACAACTTGCCGTCCGTCTTTTCTATGTCGAGGAACATTGCATGCATGGGCTTCCATTGCTTCGACATTGCGTATGATGGGCAACACCACTCAGGATTGGCGGTATGTAGAACGCAGCGAAGTTTTTTCCATGGTTGTGCCCCCTGCTTCCCTTTTAGCGCATCGAAGTCTTCTTTGGCGCTCCAAATCGCGGCCGCGAGGTCTGCGAGCTCGTCATCTGTCTAGCGCTGTTTCATAGGCGCGACACCTTGCGTCGCAGGATCCACACCCGTTGCGTCGTCCACCGCGTCTGCTGCCTCGAGTCCGTCGGAGTCGCAGTAAGCGTCTTCACCACTGTTGACATCGTCCGCCTTGTCCAGCGTCAGTTGGGCATTGTCTACGCCGTTGTCGCCGGCACTAGGGTCGCTTGCAGTCGCGGCATTGGCATTGCCGTGCTTAGATCGCTTCTTCACCGGCGAATCCGTCACTCCAATGAGACAGATTCGCTTAACCCCCTACGTTCCGAGGACCCTCAGGTAGCGAATGAAAGCAGGCGGTTGTCGGTCAGCGGCTGATGCGGACTCGTCAACTTTGGCTTTACCACGGTTCTGTTTCTTGTTTGGAGCTATGCAGCAAGGTTGCTATACTTGGCGTGCGCTTGGTTGTAGGTTGAAGAGCTGATTGGGGAAGATGCGTTGTTTGCAGCGCGTCAATGTATTCCCGAGGCGGGATCCTTGACGATTCTAGGGCTATTTTTGGAAATTTTCATGGAGTGGTCGACAGGCCGACGCGTCAGTATGGCCGTCTGCCATCGTTGACGCCTGCGACCCAACTTCGCGTCGCAAGTCAGGGCAACGGGAGTGGCAAGCGCGGCTCCCGATTCGGTGCGAGCAATTTGGCATTTCGTTTTGCTACGCGCGGCTTGTCAAATTGGTCGCAAGGTGGTGAAGTCGGATGGGCAAACTTCGGCGTTCAGGAAGTTAACCCACAAAGTTTGCCCATAGAATTGCCCAAAATGGAGTCGGATGGGCAAAGTTGGGGATGTGCAAACTTCTTGAACGCGGCCTTACACTTCCGAGCAATCCCAAAAGTTCGGAGACAAACACATCTGTTCATATAATAATAATAAAAATGATACGAGGTCAAGAATGCGTACTTATGCTAACCAACATCAAAGTGAACATGGAGAGATTTGCTATTTCAGGCGTCACCTTTCGTAGAGTGGTAATAGTCACGTGAGCTAGGTAGCTAGGAATGGTAGGAAGCCATGAAAATGGCATGATGGTTTAGCTAGGTGAAAGTTGACGAGAGAAAAGAGAGGGAGAGTAGAAGAGAAAGGCATACAAGGAGGGGGGGTTGTACCCTCTACAGTTGGTTGCAATAACACCTACCAAGCCTACCAATTATACAACAAAATATATAATTGAACACACCCCCTAGGCTTGGTAATAGAAGAACCCACACACACCCACACCCCCTAACCTAGCCCTCCCATTCCCAGCAGCAGCCGCAATGACTCCGGAGTCGGTCAATACCCACGGCCCGGGAGATGGCAATGGCGGCAGCGGCGGCAGTGACGAGAACGACGGTGGCGGCGGCGTGCGGCGGCAACAGGACAGCGGCAACAGCGGCGGCGACGGTGGCAGCTTCAATGTACGAGGCGAGTGCAGCGGCCCCCGCCCTCTCAGCGGCATGGCCAATCTCTGCGGCGATAGGGAAAACCCTCACGAGTCAGGCGTCGGCTGTGGCGAGGAGGAGGGGACGCAGGGGAAAAGGGTGGGGGGCGAGGCGTGGTCCAGCATCACGCCCGTGGCTGGAGTGCGGGCGTCAAGTCGAGCGGCGCCACACGAGTTGCGCGGCCGGCTGCAGCCCAACGACACCGTCACAGAGCGGCGTCGATGCCGCGGCGGGACGTCGATGCTGCGACGGCAGCACGACGGTGCCGTCACGCCGCAACAGCTGGACGTCGACGATGCCGCCACAGCTGGACGTCGACGCCACGACGGCGCAACGCCACGGCAGCGCGTCACGATGGCCGCAGCACGACGCGGCCAGCGGCACGGTGACGCCGCCACACCAGCACGACGAGGCCGCCATGGCAGCGCGAGAGGAGGAGTGCGTGGCGGAAGCGTGGGGAGCACGCCCGGGAAGGGGAACCTACATATGTTACTATGTCACGAGAGCTAGGTGTTCAGAATAGAATGAATGATTAGAAGAAAGGACAACAGGGGGGATATAGCATTTGGGTTGTACCCACTAAGAACATACCCTATCCTGCCTATAACTTCTACATAACAATATATGTATAAGTTGACACACCCCCTAGGCTAGATAAGGGGTAGTGCTGAGCAAGAAACATGAAGCTTAGGGTGGCACTACTAGTCCAACCTCTGAGGCAGGGGCCCGAAGACCAGTCAGCAAGAGTACACGCAAGACAGAGCAAACCAGGGCGGCATTACTAGTCCAACCACTGGAGGAAAAGCCACAAGGCCAGTCTATAAGGCAGGAATAGAAAGGAGTACACAATCAAGGGCCTAGCAAGTGAGAGTCAACAAGGACTAGACCTAACTGCAAGCAATGCCGCTGATGATCTCTAGGCCGAAGCGCCTTAGTAAAGATATCAGCTGTGTTGGCACCGGTGGCCAAGTGTACTACGTGGGCCTGGCGACGCTGCTGAAGCTCAAGCAGAAGGAAATACCGCAGCTGGATGTGCTTCGCTCTGCCCTCAAGTCGACGCTCCTGACACAGGAGGATCACGGCCCTATTGTCAACGTACAGAACCGGGGCAGAGCTAGGCAGCTCACCTATATCGGCAAGCAAGAAGGTCCGCAAGCGGGGCTCCTGTGCCACCATGACACCACCGCAGATCTCAGCCCCGCAGCTAGACTGAGAAACAGACGAGGAGCGACTGGACCTCCACGAGATGGAACCAGAACCAAGGCTAAAGCAGTAGCCCTGGGAGGACCGGAGGGTCTGAGCGTTGTCTGCCCAAGAAGCGTCTGTGTGCCCAGTAAGGACCACTGGCCTGCGTCCTCCCAGCACTAGCCCCATGCCCGATGTACTTGCAAGATAACGCAAAACTCTCTTAGCGGCAGAGCAATGCTCAGGTCAGTGTCTGCCTGTAGCCACAAAGCGAGCCAAGATGCTGAGAGGGTATGCGACATCTGGGCGAGTGCAAGTTATCAGGTACATGAGGCAACCCACCAGCTCTGCGTAAGGACCACTGGGCTCTGCTGACTCCTCGGGAACTGGAGCTGAGAGCCAGTGGTCTACCGAATGAGGTGTGGGCTGTGCGGAGGAGAACTGAAGACCGAACCTCTGAAGGACCTGGCGCACCAAGTGTGACTATGTAAGAGTGATGATGCACGCTGCTCTGTCCCTGGAGATCTGCAGGCCAAGGTAGCGGCGCAGCTCTCCCAAGTCAGTGCAGGTGTGTCGCCTCAACAGCTCAGCCTTCACGGAGACCAGTGCGTCTCTGTCTGCTGTAGCAAAGACCAGGTCCTCTACGTAGACAAGGATGTAGCACGGAGTCTGGCCAGCACGAACGAAGAGCGAAGGGTCAGCAGAGGACAAAAAGAACTGCAGGTCAGCTAGCCTGGCACGCAGCGTGTCGTGGCACTCATGGGGCACCTGTCGCAAGCCGTAGACGGGGCGCCAGGGGTGCCACTGGGTCCTAGGAGGGAAAGTACCAGTGAAGCCCTGAGGGCGGCGCAGGTAGACCTGCTCATGTAGGCTTCCCTGGAGGAAAGCAGTGGAGAAGTCGAGGAAGTGAAGCTCGTAGTCACGCTGTGCTGCTACGTATAGCAGCGCCCGAAGAGTAGTCATCTTCGGGGTCGGGGCGAAGGTCTGAAAAAGTCCACCCCCTCTTGCTGACTGAAGCCTCTAGCCACGTAGCGCGCCTTGAACACAGGCGGCTCTTCAGGGGGGCGCTTCACCTTGAAGAGCTAGCGGCCATCGACTACGTTCACCCCAAGTGGGGGAACTGCGTCGACGTAGGTGCCGGTAGCCCTCCAAGATGCCATCTCCTTCTCCATGGCAGCTATCCACTGAGAAGCCAGGGGTCTCGAGGTCGCCTCACCGTAGGTGCGAGGGGTCGGGATGTCAAAGGCATCGTGGTCACCCTCAGGGACTAGCAGCATGGAACAGAGATGGGGAGCAGCCTCTAACAGGAAAGCAAGCTCGTACTGCTAGTCCTCCAAGACGTCACTGCTGAGGGCAGGAGCACCCCCGACGGACGGAGGACAGACAGGGTTAGAGACCAGAGAGGTAGCGAAGTCAAGGCGGCGAGTGGAGGCAAAGTCAGCGACAACATCGACAAGAGCTTCAAGACTGGAGACAGGAACAGATGGGTCGGTAATGAGGGAGGCAAGGACCCGCGGAACAGGAGGACGAGCAGCACAAAGGTAGTTAGATAGAGGAAGAGGCGCGATAGTGAGCGACGACGGAGGAGGTGAAGGAACGAGGGGAGGACGAGACGCGTGGGTACGAAGCAACATAGGGTGAGAACGCTGAACATCAGAGACAGGACGAGCACGAGAGGGAC